GGCATTATCAAAATTTTCTACCAATTGAAAAAGACACCAGGCATCGCCTATCAACTGTTACCTCACTGTCTTTATTTAGCCATGACAACTTGTATGGCTTAGGATGACGGTCCGTCTTCAACTGCAATTTCTGGACAACCTCCTCGGACACTACATTCTCACAACTGCCGCTGTCAATGATCATTTTGCAGACTTTATCTGCAACTGTGCAAGTCGTGTGGAAAATATTGGTTCTCAACCAATCGTCCCCTGAATCGCCCTTGGGGGTAAGTAGACTCTTGCGAACGACCAGAGTCTCATGACCATCTCCATACAGCACATCATCAGTCTCATCATCGTCATACACGGGTTCGCCAATCTCCTCAGTCTCGTCTTCCACGTTTTCCTCAATCAACAAATTTTTGCCCTTTTGACTAGCAGGCTTCCTGCAATCAGTCGCCCTATGCCCTTGTTCACCACAACGAAAACATCTAATAGTAGGGTTAGAATTACCCTGCGGTGGCTGCTGAGCAGGACGGGACTCTTGAGGGCGAACTGGTCGACTGTTGTGATCGCTCCTGATCACTGGTCTCCTGTTTTGCTGTTTTTCAACAGCAAGTGCACGCTGGTATGCTTCCGAAACACTCCACAATGAATGAAGGCTGAGGACATCTTGCAAGGGCTGGCGTAAACCCCCCAAATATCGCGCCACCATCTGCTCCTCCGTCTCAGATAAATCGTTCCGGGCGACCAATTGGTAAAACTCCTCCGTGTAATCATCGACTGATCGCGCGCCCTGCCTCAACGCATGAAGTCGCTGAAATAAGGTTTGCGTGTAGCCGAAGGGAAGGAAGTGGCCCTTCATCTTCTTTTTCATCTTCTCCCAATCAGTGATCTTGGCTTTGCCCTGTCTTTCTCGTGAACGTCGTAACTGTTCCCACCACGCAGATGCTCTGCCCTTGAGTTTGATGGCGATCAGTTTCACTTTCACCCGATCGGGGACTTCCTTATATTCAAAAATACGCTCCACTTCATTAATCCAATCCACGAATCCCTCGGCCTGTAATGTACCAGAAAACTCAGGGAGATCGACCCGAAAACCGAGGTCTCCATGACGCTCCTCCCGACCACGGTGCTCCCGGAATCCTGCGCCCCGGAATCCTGCGCGATTGTGATATGGGTTTTCGAAAGTGGAATTGGTATCGTGATCAGAGGCCTCACGATCCTCTAAATCCTGCGCCGCCAGGCGCTGGGTTAATTCTGCGACTTGCCTCTGCAAATCCGCAATCATCACATCCTGAACGCTGCGATCACGGCGTTGGGCTTCCTCATTCGGAACCTGCTCACGACGACCACGACCACGACCTCCAGCCATTGAAACTGGTGAAATTTCCCAAGAAGATGTTGAAGCTCTGATACCAACTGACGCCAGACAGAATAGTGATTATCCTGTAGGCTAGTTCCGACAGACGATTCACAAGAGAAAATTCGCCCAAAACCAGAGAAAAAGTCTCTAGGGTTTAATAAAATATTATAAAATCAATAATCATCCAAAGCAGTCCACAAGCCGGACTGTTATAGCAAAAGAAATCGTCTTTATTCGAATTTTGCCAAAATAGCAAAAATCGTATTTATTCGAATTTTTGCCAAAAATAGCAAAATCCCGAAAATCACTCTAAATTGAAATTCAAAATAAAATAAGCAATCTCCCAAAAATCCGGTCTAAATCGGATTTAAATTGACTTCCTAATTAACAATCGAAATATTACCATAAATAGTAAAAAATAACTAAATCTAGTGATTCGGAGGGGAAAACGGCAGAATTTGAGGTTGAAAAAAAGGCCACATGGAGCGTAGCTCATGTGGAGAGCGTGCGCGTCGAAAAGAGCTTTCCGGATTGGGGTCTTATGCGCGATTCTGACACCTGTAGCCAAAGTTATGGCCAAAAGACTGAAACATACTCAAAACGACCCCAATAAGGAACATGTCACAATCAATTCCCGCCTTTGCGCTGATCTGCCAACTCATGGTATCTCAGCGCCATCAACGTGCAATCTGACAGCTCAGCGTCATCTGTCTCGGATCCCCCTGCATCAGTATTTGTGCAAGTCAATCGAGTCCTCATATTTTTTGTTACTATTTACCGATGATAGCTTGGTTTTCCTGAAAATTCTGTCTATGGCCCATGAAATAAATCAACTACTAATGATATATGCCCGTTCATCAGGACAGCGAGTGAATCTTGACAAATTGGTTATTTATTTTAGTCTCAACATAATTTTTGAACACCGTCAACAATTGACTAATGTGTTTGGCATACCGATAATTGATTCTCTATGGTACTATTTGGGTTTTCCACTTTACATTGAAAAGAATGAGACTCGTACATTTGGTTATTTAATGCGACAAAGTCGTCACAAAGGTCACAGGATAGACTAAACGCCTCTTGTCCTATGGAGGGCGGGAGGTCTTCTTTCAGTTGGTAGCTCAGGCCTTACCACAATATGCAATGTTGTGTTACGCTTCCCACGACATTTTCTTGATGAGATTGCCTCCGTCATGCGTCGTTTCTGGTGGACCGAGAAAATCTCAGAACGAGGTTGGCCTCTTATAGCTTGATCGATTATTCGTAATCCGAGAAGACAATGAGAACTAGGATTACGAGACCTTTGGTCGTTCAATCTGGCTATGGTTGGCAAATAGATTTCGTGTCTTATCACAAATCCTGCTTGCTTATTATCTAGAGTGTTACTAGCAAAATACTTTCTTAAAGGTGACCTTCTTACAACACATATTGGCAATAGGAGCTCGTACGCATGGAAAGATATTCATAACACTTCATGTGTTTAAAGGAGCTTTCTATTGACGGATAGGGATAGATAGTAATTTAATTAAGCTTGCTCCGGGACAGATAAAGTGGATCAAAAGTTGCACCTATTTTATGTGACTATTCTGCACTTCCTATTCACTGTTCAGGGCTTCGTTGTTTCAGCAGGTAGGGCAAGTAAGATGGGATGAGTTGAAAGTCCAAGCGACATTTGATGCTACTGACGCAGATATGATCCTAGCCACTTCGATTGCCCCTAGTCAATATGAGGTTCTTGTGTGGGGTAATCATGATTCAGGTATCTATTCTGTATGTTCAGGGTATTGGTGGCTTTAACGACTGATACACTCAATCGAGCTAACTACTAAGGCTTGGAAAACTATAGCAAAATTGTATGTACTCCCAAGATCCGATTTTTTCCTGGAGATTAGCCAATAGAGGCATCCTGTAGGGAGTCGACTTCGAGCACCTGGCTTAGGTACTGGCCTCCGCCCAATGTGTTGCTTACATGAGGAGACAATGATACATGCCTTGCGAGATTGTCCAACAACTCAGGAATCACTTGTATAGGCTGGCTTTCAAGGTACAGTCCTATCTAGCCAAACCACTACTCCTTTACTCTGGTTGGAAGCTACAATATCTGCACTTGATATGGAAGGTTTTGTAGGATTCATGGTGCTGCTTTGGAATATCTGGAATGGACGTAATGTGAAGATCCACTACAACAAAGTTCAACCGGCTTGGATCCTAGTTCTTAATAACTGGACATTGCATCGATAGTTCTTAGCGGTCAGAAAACAAGCTCTAGAGCGCACGTCTCGCGTGTCTCCCATACCAGTGCGCTCGATGTAAGGATCGACTAATCGTTGGGTTCCTCCCACTCCAGGTTATGCCAAAATTAATGTTGATGGGTCCTTCGACTCTCAGTGCAGGTTTGGCCATTGGTGTTATAGCTCGAGATTCCGGTGGTTTACCGTTAGGCGGTATGGGTTTACCTTTGGGCGGTATGGGTCCATTTGCACCGAAGCGGGTCTTGCAGAGATCCATGCTATGACTGTTGGGTTACAGTTTGCTCAAGAAACCATTGGCGCCAAATTGTATTTGAAACTGGTTTGGCAATGGTGGCTAATAAATTGTCTTGTGATGTGGAAGATTTATCCACCTTAGAATTTCATCTAGCTGAAGCCCAATCCATGTTCCAGACCAATGCATCTTTCTCAGTTTTTTTTTTATGTCATCAGTGAATTTAATATTAACAATAAAGCATCGTAAAGAATTAAAATCATCTATATCTATTTTTGATGTATCATTATTTGATTTACTCACAAAAACGATGCATTATACATAATAAATTTAAAATATTTACCCTACAACAAGATTAAAGTAGTTAATGAACATGTATACAAGATTAAAGAGTTCGAAACTATGTTAATTTTAGATTGAGACATAAAAAGCTTTTTTTCTGTTGTTGTTCATGTGAGGCTTTGCCTCTCTCTTTCCGGTGAACAAAGATCAAATAATTAATCAATTAACCTGTTCGGAAGTTATACAATATAAATTTAAGCATGGAAGAATTTCCACGGACGAATCTATGAACACTACTTTTGTAATATATACGAAGACATTATAGCTCGAAATTCACCAAGTTATCCTTGAAAATGAAATATTTTTTTTCTTATTTCCAATTTGTGTTGGCATGCAACATTAGTTTGCGACTAATAATTCGATATTAATTGAAGATTTAGATTTTACACGCACACATACCAGCTAATAATTTGATATTAATTGAAGATTCGGGAGAAAATTGTTTAAATTAAATGATTGAGTTGTAACATAATCAGTCGTTTGATAATGGCTTGCTATTTTCTTTTCTAATTAATATAAAACAAAAAAATAGTTACGTAGCCTTCATGAATTTAGGTTTCAGATAGGCATATTAGATACATATTTTTTTTTAAACTGTATTAAACTGGATGATAATTGATTAAAAAGATTCAGTATTAAGCTTTCATCTTTAAACCGTATATCTTCCTAAAACTGAGTTTGAACGATTCAAGCATTGAAAATATAACGGTATTGGTTTAATTAGCTGTAAACAAGGAGCAAAGGCCGGATTACCGTTAATTGCATTTGCATGCACTCAAAATGCATATAAAAGGCGACCAACCCTTGCTGGAAAACTCAGGCAGCAGATCTTAGATAAATAAAAACAAGCAGATTTAACTGGTAATAATAATGGTTTCTATTTGGAGAGGCTTTATTATTTTACCTCTCCTTTTTGTCTATGGAAACTGTCAAGGCTTGCTGTTTCCTAATCTATTCCATCACTTCGGCAACCCCATGACGGGATTCGAGGCCCCGCGGTTCGACGGACCTGCGACCTTGGTGGCCGATGATAGCGGATCTTCTGCCGCCGGCGACGACGTTGACAGTGCAAAGCAGAACGGCGGGAGTTCACAGACATTGTTGGTTGAGGGTCTTGAACGTGTTGTGGAGGCTCAAACTACGTTCAAGGGAAGTTGGGAATTGTTCGTCGAAAACTCCGGCGTTTCCGCCATGCACTTGGTGTTGCTCCCGAAGATCGATCAGGCTCTGATTTTCGACGCCACGGTTTGGAAGAAATCGAAGCTGAAGTTGCCGGGACCGCCGTGCCGGAAAGTCGAGGGAACCAATGAAGAAGATTGCTGGTGCCATTCGATTCTCTTGGACGTCGAGACAGGAAATATTAAGCCACTCAGGGTACATTTATCTCTTATTTTACTCTTTTTTTTTCCCTTCAAAGTCCGACGTTATTAATTTGAACATGTTTCTTCGGAACAGATTGAACATGATACATGGTGTTCATCTGGTGCCCTTGATGTGAATGGCCGATTAATAAGTACCGGTGGTTTTGGCAATGGGTCCGACACCGTCAGAATCCTCGACATAGCTCCCAATTCTGATTGGATTGAATATCCTGGTGCACTTGGAAATGGAAGATGGTATAAATTCAACTTTAACCTATTAGTTAGACTTAGATTCGAAAAGTTTGAAATTAAACTTGACTCCATAAGTTATAAATTGTCATATCAAGTTCGTCTCGAATCTAAATTAAAAAATTAAAGTTGACTGAAAAAATCACAAGTTTAAAATTTTTAAATTTCACTCAAAATAAACACTGTAATATGATTTGAGTTAAAAAAAAGGTAACTTAAAATTTTTCCAGACTTGCGATGCGTAGTCTCGTTTATGTCCCTACCTTTATTACTGTTTCCACATTAAGAGCTTGAATCTGACAATATTTTTCTGGGTTTTCCATTGAAGGTATGCCACACAAGTGACCTTAGCCGACGGGCAATTCATGGTGTTCGGTGGCCGGGGAGCTCCGACGTACGAATTCGTTCCATCACAAGGACAGAAAAATACCCGTAATGAAGTCTTCGATTTTAAATTCCTTGTGGAAACCCATGATCCTCCAAAGATCGAGAACAATTTGTACCCATTCGTTTACCTTTCAACCGACGGCAACCTCTTCATCTTCGCCAACAACCGCTCGGTTCTCCTCAACCCGAACAACCGACAAATCGTCCACGAGTTCCCAGTTCTCCCCAACGGCGCCCGCAACTATCCGGCTTCGGGTAGCTCTTGTCTCCTCCCAATCATACTTAACCCCAACGAAAACCGCCGAGTGATTCCGGCGGAGGTTTTGGTATGCGGAGGAACGGCGCACGACGCGTACCCAAAGGCCGAAGACATGCGGCCCAAGGTGTTCGTTCCGGGGAACACCGATTGTGCCCGCATGGATATCACCAAGAGAAACGGCAAATGGAAGATCAATAACATGCCGTCGGCTCGTTTAGTGGGAGACGCGGTGGTGCTCCCTACCGGAGATGTTCTTCTAGTCAACGGTGCAAAAACCGGTGCAGCCGGTTTTGATAATGCCAGGGAGCCGAATTTGAACCCGGTTTTGTATAAGTTCAAAAGTGACGGAACCGGTTCGAAGTTCACCGTTATGAACCCGTCGAACATTCCCCGTATGTACCACTCATCGTTCGCCGTTCTTCCCGACGGTAAAATCATGATCGCCGGAAGCAACACGAACCCAGGATACATGGACAACGTACTGTTCCCCACTGAAGTTCGGGTGGAAAAATTCTCGCCCCATTACTTGGATCCGAACTTGGCCCAGTTCAGGCAAGAGATCGTGGTCGAACAGTCCGATAACAAGGTGAAGTACGGACAGAAATTCACGGTGCAGATTCGTTTAGGTGGTGCGATTAACGAGACAAAGCTGCAAGTGACGATTTACTCACCGCCGTTTACGACGCACGGGGTGGCAATGAACCAGAGGCTGGTTCAGTTGGGTATTCTGGAATTCAACAATGGCAAATTAGTTCTTCAAGCTCCCATGAATGGAAACATTGCTCCTCCTGGGTATTACATGCTCTTCGTTAACTACAACGGAGTGCCTTGCCGCCGTTCCATGTGGATTCAGATTATGCCCTAGAGATCAATCGTCGTAACCGCTAATGTAATTATTAGTATATATATTGAATCGTTTGTTCAACGTTCAAATCACATAATAATATTACGTGAACTTATTGGTTTATTTCTTGGCGTCGCCGCTTCTCTCTCTATATTAATCGCTCAAACACTAACAAAAATTTTAAATTATTATAATTTTGAGTTATTCGAGTTTAATTATTTAATTCATTTATTTGTTAGAGACAATAAGAGCACCAAAAAAACTTTAGCACTAAAGTTAATTATCAAGTCTGTTTCTATGATTTTAATAACATAGGACCAACATGAAAATTAGGTCTTTAATAACAAGGATTGAAAAAAATTGAATTATAATAACAATAAAAAATAAATAAGTTTACTTTTAAATTAATTATTTTTATTTTATTTATAAACTATATAATAAATACATTAAATTTAAAAAGAAAACATTAAGAAATTTTATTTAACACCAATTACTCAGACAAAACAAACACATGATCATCTTTTAAGAATTCCATGTTCAATTTCAACATCTCCATCTTATAAAAAAAAATTAAGTAGAAAGTAAAAAAATAATTTAATTTTTTTTCATAAAAGACATTAATTTTTTAATAATAAATAATAAAAAATGTAACATTAAATATAATTAAATAATTAAAATAAAAAATAATAGATAAGTAATAAGTAATTTACCTTTTTCCATTATATATGAACTTTACAAGATCAAACGTACAGGCATTACACAGAAAATTTTCACAATCAATTCTCAAATCAATTTATATTCATATAAATAATTCATAAACCTGGATAACGCAAGGTCATGACATAATATTTAGGGTAAAGTATATAAATAGTCACTAAACTTTTAAAACGCTTGTATTTTGATCATCTAATTTTTGAAATTTGCAGTACAGTCATTAAACTCCCGTTACATCCCGTTTTAACTTTTGTCCCTACCGTTAATTTTTGCTAACGTGGCAGTTCCCGTAAACCCACTCTTTCAGATTATTTCTTCTTCTCCAGGTTACTTTTTCTTCTTCGTAAAATCCCAACTCTCCAAACACTACTCAAACAAGACTTCACTCTCACACTCAAATCCATTTAAGTCACCAAAACCGTAACAAGGATTGTAAAACTCACTATGAAAAGTAATACTAGGAAGAAAAAACCTCACAATTTCACTTAGAATCATGCAACACTCAAAAATTGTAAACCAGCATAAGAATTACACATACCTCTGGTTGAGGAAGTAAAGTGACTTGTGTATAGACCCCATCATTCTCCTTATTAGCCGGGTAAAAAAAGGAAACTTCAATTTAAGCGTCGATGTTTTATAGAAAAGGTAAAGTTATAACCTTTAGGGGGAAGCTAATGGCTAATGAAAAGACAATTTAGGCTTATAAGAAGTTAGACGTTCACCACTTGCAGAAGATTTAAGGGAGAAGATCAAAGGTGGACATTTCCAAAGGAGAAACAGAAGCCACTCGTTCCAAGTGACCTTGAGGGAAGTAAACAACAAGATATCTGATTTTGGGAAGTGAAGTGAGGGTGTCGACACAAGCATGCCAAAGCTCTAAGTAAATGGAAGAGGATGAACATGGACATGGTGGTGATGCTAAGTTTGAAGAACTTGAAGAAGATAGTGAAAAGGACAAACAGTTCACTTTGTCGCTCTCCCCATTGCAAACTGCAGTCGTCTTCTCCTCCTCATTCACACTGCATGGTTCAGATCAATTTCCATGAACACCCAAGTTCTTTTCTTTTTTTCGTAAAAACAAAGGCTTTCACCTCATTTTAAGCACCCACATAACCAAACAAAACATCAAAGGAGAGTGATAAAAGAAAAGGGTATTCCCAGAAAGCTAAAAACTAGAGAACATATGGAAATTTAAGTGAAATTAGTGTCAAGAAAAATCCCTTTCTAAACAAAGGAAGAAAAAGAAAAAAGGCATGTTGAATAAAGGGGGGGGGGGGAAGGGTGGTTAAATAATAACAAGGAACTCGAAGTAGGATTCCTCCCCCATTTGCAGGTACTGAGAAGAGGGAGCAGCAGACATGAACAACTGTGTTGGTTGATGAATTTGAGCGTGGGAGTGAAGTCTCATTTGAGCAGTGTTTGGAGAGGTGAGATTTTAGGGGAGGAGGAAGAAAAAGGAGGAGAAGAAGAAGAAGAAGTGGTGGTAAACCGGAGTTAACTACCACATCAGTAAAATCTAACGAGAGATAACGACAAAAATAAAAATGAAAACAAACTAAAATTTGATTATTGTATTATAAGTTTCAAAAGTTGAGTGACTAAAATACAAGCGTCTAAAAATTCGAGGACTATTTATATATTTTACCCTAATATTTATTCAATTTGAAAGTTCAATTTCAATTATACTAGCTTACTCCAAGTTTTTAACATCATCAATTACAGCAAATCAAGTATCAATCATCCCCTTTAGATTAAAAACCCTAACTTGATCTTGACCTATATAAATCAACACAAAAACAACTAAAGGGTAAGATTTAACATTCAACAACATATGAGATGGTTTCCTAATGGTCTCACCTTGCTTGTAGGATAATCTTGGTACAAATTCAATCAATCTTCAACTTAGTTTATGGGTTAATATGATCTTAACTCAAGACGGCTCTCATCTTTATTATAAATCAGTTTATTATTCATAAATCATTTTATTATAAAAGCCCCTTTAGTGATTTTCTAAAAACACTTTTAGTTAAAAAATCTAATTTGACCATAAAATTAATGCCAACAGGGTAAAAAAATAAAGAAAATACGGTGAAGACAGTGGTTTCAAATTAACTGTAAAAACTAGAATTTATAGTTTTTTCATTTTTCAACTTTGTGTTTGGAAGCAAATTATAAGTTTACCCTTACTAATACATGTGCTCCACTCAATAATGCATTTACATTTTATTTTAATAATTTAATATTAACATCCTTAAAAAATTATTACTTAATAATTTATTTTAATTACTTAAAAGTAAATAAAATTCATAATTTATATATTAAATATTAATAGTGAAAATATAAAAAATATATTTTCACTATTAATAAATATTAATAGTGAGTTATTATAAAATATATTTTTATTATAATTATATTTTTTATTTGTATTTTTTATATTTGTATTATAGTTTAACTTGATATATATATATATATATATATATATATATATATTCTATTTTGAATGGTTAAAAGGATAAATATATTATTTAAATAATGTTATTTTAAATTTTAAATGAGTGATTGTGGTTGAATTGGAATAATTAAAATATTATCATAAAATTCAATTGTTAAATGAGTATTTTAGTTCAATCAAAATAATTAAAATATTATCTTAAAATTCAAATATTAAATGAGTTATCTTAAAATAATTATTTATAATTTTATTATAGTTTAAGTTGATATATTTTATATATCATAATATTAATAAGTGTAAATATAATTAAATTATATATTTTTAATTTACAACATAATATCTATAATGCACGAACCAACTTATATCAGTGGTGAAAGAATCGTTGTTGTTCCTAGAGGTTATGGGTTCGAGCGGCTGCACCAGGGTGAATGAGCATTCATTGTCAAATAATTGAGATTATTTAGAACATATACTACTTTGTAATCACATTAACTTAATAAAAAATATAATATCTATAATTAATATTTTATCTTTCTAAACTTTTTAACAACAATCTAAAACAACCAAATTGTAAAGTGCACTTTTAAATAAAACTTTTAAAAATTCTTTTCTACCATACTTTTAAAAGTTACTTTTCAAATACCCTGTAAAACTGGCCTAACTCAATTACATATTTATATAAAATAATTTTATCAATTTTAAAAATATAAAAAGTATTATCGTAATTCCTTTTAAAGTTTAAATTTACACATGAATTTTTTTTATACATAAAAGTTTATATCAGGGGTGACTCCTTTAATCCAAGGTCATTGTATACTTAAGAGACAATTGAAATTTATATAAGAATTTACATATTGGTCAACAAGAATAACGGTGATAGGATTTAGACTTGACCTTACAAACTAAAATTTCTGAAGTACAATCACTTGTACTAGTACTTATTTACTACATTTATACATGATAGATGATATAATATTTATACCGTAATAGTATTTAATTATTCTATCCAATAATATTCTAAATGAACACATCCAAGATGATGTGGATGTTGAATTAAGATTTTTTATGCACTAATCATTTTACACAATGGTTAAAAGAATTTTTGTTATTTTTAGAAGTCATGAGTCCAAACACCAATAATTTTAATATTATAATTAAATGTTTATTGTCAAATAATTAAAAGTATTTAAAATATATATTATTTTTTAATCACTTTTACTTAATAAAAAATATTTTTAAATTTTTCTACTTCTCCCCCTTCCCTTTCTTTTCTATAACCCATTATTGGTTACTTTTTCATCCTTAGTAAAAAGAGTACGACATTATTGATTATTTTTCCATCCTTGTTAAAAAGACAATGACATTAGCTTCGATGTTAATTACCGCCACAATTATTTCTTTATTTTTTTTACTGTGTATCTTTTTTTCTTTGATTTTAATAATCTTATTTTTATGGTATTTTTTGTAGGAATATTTTCGGTTATATTTTTTAGGAATATTTTCGGTTTTCTTTTTCAATCATTTGATCGTTTACGTCGTTTATTTTTCTTATTATTAATTTGACATCATAATGACTGATTAAAATTATGCTCATTTGTTATTCCACAGATCTTTCATGCTTTAGACCCTCAAATTATATTTGAATACACAATCTAGATTATTTTCTCACAATGCTTAAGTCTTTTGTAGGTGTCTTTTAATAGTTTAATCTCATATTGTGGTTAGTTTGCTAAAACAATTAGATTTGTTTGTATCTATCTTTTATTCAAACTTTTTATCTTTCTTGTATTGTCCTTATAGAGTTTTAAGTGGCTAGTTTCTTGTATTAATAGTTAGAGGAGAATGTTTTAATTATATATTCATTTTACGATTCTAATTGTAAACCATCATTGTAAATTTGTATATTTTCTCTCTCTTAATAAAAAGTAGCTGATTCTAATTCTGTAAAAAAGTTTTATTTAATTTTTTTCATCAAAGTTTTCCTGTGAAATTTGCTAAAAGAAATTCAAAGAAAAATACTTGTAAATTTGTAATACATTTTATATGCTTACATTCATCTCCCAACAAGTGAGTGAGTCAAACATAGAGGAAGATAAGTAAACAGAAACTCACATTTAAAGACTTCATCTTTTTGGCGAATCGAACGCCTATCCGATTGTCGCCATAAAAGATTTATCTACAGAACGGGACTGGCTGCATTCTCACCAAGAATTTCTTCAACAAATATTTTCAGCTCAGATTTGGATTTCACTTTCCAAAACTCACTCCAACTCCTTGAGGAAATCAATATTATCAACAAAGACCTGCAAAATTTTCCTTTGATAAGCTAAAAGGTTTCATCCTCCCTACTATCGACCCAAAACACAAGATTCGTAGCAAAGCATCAATTTATAAAATGTTCAAATGGTATACCGTCTTCCAGCCATCGGGATCTAAGCATGCCGTGATCTTGGTGTTGATACCAGGTAAAGGTCCGGGTTCCCGGGTAATTTTTCCACCAAAGAGTTTAACTGCTTCTGCAGTTTTGTAAACATCATCTGTTCCAATAGCAATCTGCAGATACATGAGCAGTATGTGTTTAACTTGTTTCCATACATAAGAAATAAGGTTCAAGTAATCAAGTAGAATCATAAAAACATACTGTATGCAGTTACAAAAAAGATGCTTTTTAACATTGAAGTGAAGAGATTGCAGAGGTATTTTTACCTGAGCGTAACCATTTCCTTTATCGTAATCAGTGACCCCGTAATTATACGTCAACTCAAGCACAGCATTTTTATCTTCGGGCCCATAGCCCATCATGGCTATTGTATACTGACGGAAAGTTCACAAACATACGTCAATTAATATAATCTGAACACAGAAATGTTCACAGAATACTTTCATCAATCACATACTTGAATCCGTCTTTAATACATGCACCTCTCATCCTTCTCTACATTTTTCAAAATACATATTGTAATGAGTTCCATTTGCCATATTGAATAGAGGATAGTTATTTACCTTGTACTGTGGATTATCTCGTGTGCGAAGAAGTTCCATGCCAAAGGCCTACAACAAAAGGAGATAGAGAATAAGACCTATGGCATAACTTAAAACATAGATAACACCATGTCCTGTAAATAATAATAAAATAAAAGGTGTAAGGTGTCCGTGAAAACTACTGGAAATAGCATCAGATCATCTTTGCCTAATATTCACAACTCTCACCTTCTCGTAAAATTTTATTGCACGATCAAGATCACCAACGCGGAGCATTACTTGGCACAAAGGTTCAGGAGTAGTAGCCCTCTCAATTAGTTCAAATTTGTAACCATCGGGATCCTCAACAAATGCAATTACAGTTGAACCACCTTTCACTGGGCCAGGTTCTCGGGTTACTTTTCCACCCTTGGCCTTTATAAGTTCCACAGTCTTGGCAACCTAATCAGAGGAGCATGTAAGCATTCAGCTTTGGAAACAAGGACCGAGAAGTTCTAAGATACATGACAGTCTATCATCTTGTTCAAATAAAAAAGAGATTATACAACTTTCAGAAGCCAAGGTTAGAACTTACATCATCAACAGCAATACCGAAATGACCAAATGCAGTTCCGATGTCATACTTATCAACTCCGTAATCTGGAAAATCATTTAACTACTTAAAGCCAAGCTCATACATATGGTTTGGAAATGCCAAGTGTAATCTGATAGCTTACTATAAGTGAGTTCAATAACAAACTGAGAATCTTCTGGCCCATATCCAAGAAAAGCATTTGTGTATCTCTCCTCCGGTATGTCCCGTTTCCTCAACAGCTTCATTCCCAAACACTCGGTATAAAATCTGCAACCACCATGCGTTCGAGTTTGTTACAAACGTTCCAACCGCAAGATTGTATAAAAGGAATAAATCTTGAAATGACATACTTGATGGTCCTATCCAAATCCCCAACTCTATAAACAACATGGAGCATTCTTCGGTTGTCCTTTTTAACCCATTCTAGAGCAGCAGTCTCTTGGGTGGCTGCCGTGCTTGCCCGTACCACATTTCCAACAATAGGCATCCCTGACTTGTTTTCTTCACCTCTCGACATCTTAGAAGCTTTGAAACCAAATAATTGTGACTCGGGAGCAGCTGGAAAAAGATCAAAAAGAGATACATTTACATCAAATAAATTCAAAATCTCTTTTCAATTCTATAAAACTCAACAGAATCTCCAGATCATTATTGTTACTTATTCTCACAACCCTAAACCAAGAGAAAAAAGAAGCGACTATTTCAACAAATTAGAGATTCTTTCAATAAGGAAAAATATAATTGCATTGTAAACAGATGCTTCTAAATTCCTTAAAATATCCTCTCTTTTTTTTGCCTTTTAAATCTCAAACTAAAATGAACAGCGGAAGTTTCACATCAATGCTCGATTCCATCTAATTCTTCAATCAATAACTAAAGTAATAAGAGAATTCTAGGGCATAAAAGAAAATAAATTTACAAAAGCGAAAAAGTGAAAGAAAAGAGAAATAGTGATTACCGCTGCCGAGATGAGAGAAAAGAAGGCGCCGGGGGAGGTGGAGCGGAGAAAGGGAAACGCCAAAACGCGTGGAAGCAACACCACCGGAGCACCTAAACGGTGAGAACGAAGGTCGTATTGAGGACGATGCCATGGGAATTATCCTCACCATCTTCGCGAATTGCTATATCGTAATTGTTTAGTTTCTTCAAAAACAATATTAATAACAAGTAAAATTGAAAATCAAATCAATTCTCCTTCCCTGCACTAAACTTTGAGAATCAGTGATATTTGTACCAGCCGTGTGTGACGCTGAGAGTAACGGGACGTTTCTCCCTCTGCCCTTGTTTCGTTTATTCGTCTCTGCTTGCGTTTGTGTGTACTAAAACAAAGCGTCAGAGAATAAGGTTATAAATTGCAATGAATAGATATATACTACAAATTTGGTAAATGACCTTTTGCATCACTCAAATTTCTTCTCACTCATACATTGATAATTAGTGTTCAATATTTTTCAATTTAATTACTCAATTTTGTATTTTCTTATTTTGCTAACGAAAACGATAATTTAATAATAAGTCCATGGATCCTTTATGAGAATCATACTTTTGGGTTAGCGCTTAAAAGCCCACAATCATCATTTCAGCAATAAAAATGGTTGACCCAAAGGTGCGACTACCCCATTATTCATATCCTGAAAGTGGCCAAGAATATATAGAGCCCATTAATAAGACTACAATTTGTACTTTTGACGAAAAAAATTAAATATAGATTGTTATTTATAAAGCGTTTTTATTTTTATAAAAGATATATTGATTTTTATAAAGTGTTTTTATTTTTAATAAAAGATATATTAATTTTTATAAATATTATTTATAAAAGATGTAATAATTTTTTATTATTTGAACTTATGTACCTTGCTTCAAGGACCCTCTCAATATCTAATCTTTAACTTCATCCCTAAGGTCAATACTCAATATTTAATTATTAAAAAATTTATAAATCAAAATTAAAACTGACCTACTCAAATAATTCATTTGTTATTTGAAATAATAAAATACTTAAATTTATATCAATATCCATTCTAATTATTAAATTTATATCAATATACATGTTAATTATTAAAATTTATATCAATATTCATGAATAAATCTAACCCAAACTAAAACGAATAACTAAATCATAATTTTTATATCAACCTTTTTAAATTGTTTTTACTTATTTATAGTATAAAGGCAAGCAATGAAGAGGAATACGACTGAGTATGAAATAAAAAGAGAAATAAATAAAATGTACAAAAACTAGATTTCAGAATTATTCTCCTCCGATCATGTCATTATCTTGGTGTAATGAGTAAAAAAGGAAAACCACACCTATTGATCACTAGACTTTTAGATTATTTGTATTTTTGTCACCAAAATTTAAAAACTTTCATTTTAGTCATTATCGGTAAGAAATGCTTTCATTTCAGACACTCGATTGTTAAATTATTAATAATGTTTTAGTTATCATGTCCTAGTGTCATTTTCTTTAATAAATTAAAACATTCCAAAATGAGATGACGACTCTTCTTCTTATTGGTAAAAAAATAAGGAAAATATGTATTGTTAATAGTGAGAGTCAAATTTAAGATCCTTAAAAACAAGTCTAATGCTCAGCCAAGACACCAAACTTAGAATTCATTACATTATTGACAAAACTAATAAGGAGAATATTGTTAATACAAAGAATCAATATCACATTGGTCGGTTTATTGATTTTTTTCCAATGATTCATATGTTTTTTTTAAATTAATCTCACTGAATGAATGAAATTAAGAAGTACACACTTATTTTATCGTTGAAGTTCATTCAGCCAGCGACATGTGACACATGTTCTGTCACACCCCAATTTAAGGGCTAAATTTTAGAAATTATAAAGTATTGAATTTAAGTAGTATTTTGGAAAAATTTATGATTAAAAGTGTAAAATAGCAAAGCTGACATACCATTTTAGGAAGTGCAGGAAAATTCAGGGACCAAATCTTCAATTTACCCAATTTTCTTATATATTGAAAATATAAACCCCTTTCACCGATCAATTCCCAGAAAATAAAACCAAATTCTCTCTCTCGTCAACCCTCATTTGAGCTCTGATTTCTCCACCGTCTGGCCACCGTTCGTCGATCCGAAACCACCATCATGTTCGTTGTTGACAGGTGAACGAAACCCCTCAAACCTCTCATCGTGAATCGTCGTCGTTTGCCGCAAAAATCAACCAGAAGTTTCATTGGTTTTAACTCGATCGTTGTTGGTTTTTCGTCCATTCAGGTCGATCCAGCAACCCGTTTTCGACACCTCCCGTACCATCGTGTTCCTTGCATCGTTCCGAGTCCACTAGTGTCCTTCTTGTCTCCGTCATCACCGGCGCGTGAGGGGTGAGGAAGTTAAAGTTTCTGACATTTTAAAATCGAGCTCTCTGCCGTTCAAAATTGTGAACCGAGCTTGGTAATTGTCTATCATCCTGGGGAGCCGATTGAGTCGAGCCGAGCCGCCTGGAACGAGCCGTTGACTGTTGACTTCCGTTGACCGTTACTGTTGACTTTTGACCGTTGACTTTGACCAAAAAGTCAAAAAAAAATAAATTAAAAGTCATATTTAAGTTTTTCGACTTCCTGAGTTCGATTCCAAAGTTTGTTTTGCCAAATTCGAACCCTATAAGCTATTTTTTACTGATTAATCACCCAAATCGATCCATTTTTTGCAATTAAGCTCCGTTTTTTATGAAATTGTTGTTGATATGTATATCACGAATTGTTGGAGGTTGATTTCAAGATCGAGCGCATTCGAATGAAGTTTAAATGGTCGATCTGTATGGCACAGAAATCGAGGTAATACTCTACTACCTTTTGTATGCTTTTCGAAACTCATGGATACGTGGTAAATGCTTGATTGGAATGATTGGTCCATTATATGTAATTAATTATCATTGGACTCAGACATAAATAGGATTAAGGATAGAACACTATAAAAGCCTCAGACGACTCAAAAAGGAAATAAGTAGAATGACCGAGACTACACCTCAGTTCAATGATTTAATCAATAAATCAATGAATCTCAGAACGCATAAATTCTGATTAATCTCGTTATAGGTTAAATGTTGGAAATATTTGGATATGAAATTATTGAAAAGAGTGCCATGGATAAATTACGATAATGCCCCTAAAATATAAAAAGACCAAAATACCCCTAAAGTGTAAAATGACTTAAAGTACCTCTAAACCCTAGAATTACTACTACACACAACTCTGAAATAAACTGAATGGTAGTATTATACGTATCTAAATCATTGAAATTATCGAACTACTCTGGAAACTCCGAAGTGACCGGTATAGATTTGACTAATAAATGAACTTAACAACCTCAATGATTGAGGATTAAGTAAATGATTTGGATAAGTCTGAAAACTCTGATGAACTTACATGATGTACTATCCCTATGGTTTATCAACCACAAATCAAGTAAGTCATCATTTCCTCATACCATTGGAACGTGAAAATGAAATAAAAACCTATGGAGTATATGTTCGTCTCCTTAAGATATATTCAACGATGATTCTGAAGATGATCTATGGACAAGAATTGTTGGGATTAAAGAGTAAATACCCTGGAAGACAATGAATTGATCATTCGACAGGCATCAGTTTTTAGAGTGGTTTAGCTCGACTTGTTCGATAATTCGATCGATTGGCATAAATAGTAAAAGTCCTGAATATTTGTTCTCCTTTGTCAGCTCAACTCGCTCTGGTCATATCTAAAAACACCAGTAACTCATATGCAAAGGATTCTGAATACCCTTCTGATTATTTAGTGCCTCCGAAAAATGTCTGAATACTATATGATACTGATAAATCACATTCTGAATAACTGATGATTCCATCAACTAATGAACTCTGCCGATAGTGATTCTAACTTCTGACATTCTGTCAGTATATTGAAGATCGGTGTTTCTCTGTCTGATAAGATTATCTTATATCTCCGAATCATATATGGAAACTCTAGTGTATTCCCTAATCACATGAATGTTTTATCTGATTTCTGTTAAGATTTCTTATCCGGATTCTATTATGATATCTGGTATGGATTCTGTTCTGATATCTGATCTGAATTCTGTTCTGATTTCTTATTTCTGTTTACTTAATGAAAATGTTTTATTTGGGATACTCTGGAATCTGGTATGAAGACTCTGGAAGATTCAGTCGTTGCGGATAATTCCTTTTATAGGTTATGCACCTATTGGTAATTCCTTACGGGGACCTAAGGCGACCATTGGCTAGGCTCTACGGCCCTTGGGTAGGCTCTGCGGCCTTTAGATTTTTCTTGGGTAGTCTCGTAGGCCCCAAGGTACTCCCTTAGGTTATATAGTTATGGGGAATTGCATTGGTGTTTGGTTGGAGGGACTACTATGGTTTTAAAAAGATCTATATATTTTCACTGGTTTTTGTAAGAACGCACTAGACAACCTATTATGATCTCCTGAACCCAGACATCCAAAATATTTCCATCTGAACTGAAAGCTTATTGTCTGTTACTACCTGAAATATCCGTAGGATCTCCGCTCAGCATAAAAATTTGTAGATGTCTGAACCAATAAGGAAATATACGATTATCTGCATATCCTGTAGCATCATCTGGTAGTTCTGTATTATTGAGCTTCCCAAAACTCACTATGTTACTCACGTTTTCAGGTTAAAAGAATTGTATCAGTGCATTTATCAACATCAGTAAGGGAAATCTTCCGGCGTTGGTTGCAGAGTATGGTACATGTGATCAGGGGGTAAGTAGGTTGTACTTTGTTTTATATTCGAGTCAGAAAATCTGTTTTATTTCTGAATAATGATAACTTTTATTTTGTATTCATAAATCATTTTATGAGTTTACATGTTTTGATAAAAGTTTAAATTTTTTCAAGTTTTTTACGGCGGGTCGCTCAAATGGCCCTAATATGACAACCCTGATCATATCGGGTTACTCTCATCAGTCTGAGAGGGTTACATTTAGTGGTATCAGAGCTTAGGTTGAGTTAAAATTTTTAAGATAGACTGGATGGTCGAATGTCAAAAGATGTCTGGTCAGTACATGCCCCTAGACTGCAATCGTACTTTTCTAAGCCGAAACTCCAAGATTGAGTCCTCTGTAACGAGTTAACCTAAGTTTTCTATTCGTTAGGGCTCTACCTTTGTATAAAGGAATACTAGTAATGTCTGTCTAAACTCTATAAATTACCTTACGAGTAATGTGAGAGTTACTCATTCGAGGAATTATGACCTAACTCCGAAAAGAAATTGGGATATGCTACTGCTCTATGAACCTATTATCGTAGCCAATGCTGAATTGATTCCACAAGGAT